CCTACTTAGGAATCCTCCTTTAAAACATGTTTTGTTTTATGTATGTATGTATGTACAAACTTTTAGAATCACAAGACGATCATATGATTTCATCAATTGGGTGAATTAATTCTGGATTTCTTCAAGCAAAATTGTAGGCATAAATGAATAAAATTGCTTTCTACGTGTCCACTTTTGATTGCAAASTTCTTGCTAGTAAACGGTTATAAGTACRCGTTACGCTGAAGTGGTGAGGTAATAATTTTATAACACCTACTTAGGAAYCCTCCTTTAAAACATGTTTTGTTTTACTTATTGTTGCTGTGATTTACAGAAAAGACGCTTAACGCTCTAAARTTATATATCACACAATAGAAGTACAACTATTATTTATTTTGTAAACAAATAATGGAAACAAGTTCAAGGGTTTGTTATGCACGGACTTGCACGCCTCTCGCACATGCTTATCGCCGAAGATTTGGCATGTCTGCGAGCTTATCAAACAATTAAGTGTGACTTCCATTGGGAACACCTCACATTTATTTGTTTGTTGTTACTAATCACAATTGAGGTTGTCAATGTATAAAGTTCTTTTTCTTCATCAGTCAAAACTGATAAAATTCCAACACATTGACATCTACGAGTATAAGATGTGTGTATCAGTATTATCAAATTTAATGTGTATGTAGCGAGTGTTATAATATATAAGTAATAAATTATACCCGATGCACCACTTTTCGCGATGATATCTGTTGTAATAAAAAATTTTAAATTTTGTAGTCATATGGAAGAATAGCTTAAGTCAATTTAAGAGAAATGTGCTATTTGGACATTATAAATGTTTTCAAATAATATTTTCTAATTTTAAAGTTTATTTTTCAATACTTATCTTTACCTTTTGCAAATGAAACTGAAACAAATTGTTGATTTATGAAACACGTACTCTCCAATATGCTTATCACTATATAAATTAAGAAGCATGTTAATTTATTATAATAAGAGTTTATCTTTGCTTCATTTTAATATTTGAAAAGTAATAAAAAATAACTAAGTAGAAAAAAACTAAATCACTATAACGTGCGTTGGGTTTAATATATTTGCCTTGAAAATAATTATGACAATGGATGTATATGTATCATACCTAGAATCATCACGGTGCCACATGGGCTACCCCAATAAACAGAGTACTTAAAAATAGATTGGCTTAGAGCTTAAATCGATTGTACACTCCGTGAGAATTGTTCGGACATTAGTTTCGGTCAAAGAAKTTGTGATATTGAATATTATTATTCACGATATTCTAAGAGACCAAGAAAAAACAAACGTAAGAAATTAATATTCTATGAAATATTTATCAAATGCTCTAAAAGAAATAAATAACAAGAAAATTTCGTCCTAATAGTTTTTTGAWGTGACTTTGACAGAAAATATGTTGCCTAGTGACGTCAATAAAGAATGACAGCGTGGGTTTCGTTTTCAATTATTGTGAAAGTTTAAGAGTGCCCCTAGCGTGTTGCAATCGCCGCCCTTTCTTTTTTAATAATACATGTATTGTATATCATATAAAATAAGTATCATACAAAGGAACAAAATTCAATGTTAATTATTAATAATACAAAAATAGAAGTCTAGACGATATTGTAGAGAAATTAAATACCTTGTTTTTATTTGCTGTTGGATTTGTTTCAACTGTTTTCAAGTGAAATTGATTTCGGGTGAAAATCGCAATTAGTGAAAATTTTTAAATTCGCGCAGTGTACAACTTTCGGAATTTCTTTGCCCAATACGGTAGACATCARCGGAATATTTTTTAAAATAATGATTAGATTACGGCAATGTTATTGTAAACAAACAATCTCGCTGCAGAAATTTAGCTATGCAAAAAAGTTAGGCAGTTGCTATGCAGTCTAACCAGCGCGACGAACTTTTTCGATTAAAAGAGATCCGCATRATTCTCTAATTAAGTAAATTTAGTGTAATGGACATAAAAGTGTAATAATTTGAATAAAGCATGTTTTGAATTTTTTTATACTCTTACAACCTTTTTTACAAAGAACTCGTATAATAGATTTGCTCTCCTATCGGTTGCGCGTATTACGAAAACTAAGCGAGATAGTTACATTTCTATGTATAGAGAA